TTTTTTCGCCAAGTTACATAACCTTGAATATAGCAAAAGTACGTGTTTTTTACACTTTTAGGTTAGAATATCTCGGAAACCTAGGGTGATGGATCAATTCTGAGGCCAGATTCGGATTCAGCGCGCCAAATGCCTTCGGAAGCATAGTGTCTGATTTCTGGAAATTTTTTTTTTTTTGAAATTTTGTCGGCCTGTGTAATCAAACGTATAAATAAAACTGTAAACAATATTTATTGAATATTAAACGTCTGCTCTCTTTACAATCATTCTACAGACTGCCTTATCCCTTTTTCCTACATATAATACATAAACCTCACTTTCAACTTACAACTATGATGGCAACACATACCAGAGTGGCATCATTGGACAAACACCTGCATAAACACTCCTACGTCATCTAATAAACATCTCAGTGGATATACAGGGTGCTAACAAATAACAAAATGAACATTTTTTTTCTTTAAGATTAATACTTTTCATAATAAATTTCTGACAAAAACGTTATTTTTTCAAGATATAAGAAGAGACCTTTTTTGTAGAGCGTTCAAATTCCTACAAGTATATGAGGAGAGATATTTTTAATGAACAGTTGATAGAGATATGAATTTTTTTTTTCTAATACTGAGGAAAAAATGGAAACCTGTAAAGTGGAGAACCTTCCTATTAAAATTAAGAGCTCATATTTGGAGAGAATTTTCTAGAGGTGTCTAGCAACCTATTTTTCAGGGTATAAAGTAAAAAAAAAATTGTCGATTTTTTTGACCCACCCTAATAAATACGGTATAAAGATATGAGCCCTTTCTGACTCGTGAAACTTTTTATACATCAAACATGCAAGTTTACTTAGGTAAGTTCTGATCACTGCTAAATTCAAATATTTCTTTAATTCAAGTCAGGTGTATATATCTATATGATTTTTATGATTTTTACTTCAGGAAAACAAGGCAATGCACCAGAAAAAAATCAAGGACAAAGGATGGTGTTAGATATGGTACAGCATTTGCCGCAGGGTAGTGGTATAACTACCGATAATTTTTTTACCAGTACGACGCTGATGCACTCTGGGATATGTGGCACCCTGCGTAAAAATAAGGCATTTATTCCTAACGAACTGCTGCCAGCAACATATAACAAAGCATGTACAAGTACGTTCGCTTTTCAGAAAAACAGAACATTAGTCTCATATGTTCCAAAAAAAAGCTGCGGTCATCCTATTGTCAAGTGAGCATACAGATGCTAGAGTTGCTGGTGTAGACGAGTCTTACAAACCTGATATAATCCTGCATTATAACCGAACAAAAGGTGCCGTTGATAGCACAGATAAACTAGCCAAAGAATATACAACACAGAGAAAAACCAATCGATGGCCGATGGCAATTTTTTATTACCTCATAGATATTGCAGGCATAAATTCCTATAAACTCTGGCTTCTAGCTAAACTGAATTGGTTGAGAAAAAGGTCAAGTGGCTGTATAATATTCCTATTGAGGTAAAGAATTAATAAAAGAGAATGTTATACGCCGTTATCGTAATAAACACATCTAGCCAAATAAAAAACGAAGCATGAGTGATGTTTTCCCTGAACTATTAGAAATCGCTCAAGAAGTAGACGAGAACGTAAATGATGGGAGAGGACGCTGTTACTTGTGCCAAAAGAAGAAAGATCGGAAAGTAAGAACAAGTGTGTATATTGTCAAATATTTGTATGCTTGGAAAATTCTGTTCTTAAAACCATTTGTAAATAATGTAAGAATCAATAAGAATAAAATAAATCAGATGTTTTTTTACAGAGTAGTTTCTTAACTTTTAATTTTGTAGTTTGGACAGTATCAATATAACAGAAATAAGAAATTGTACTTTTAATGTCAATAAAAGCGATATCTCGAGCGCACCTAAGAGATTTGATATTTCATCATGAGGTCCATTTGGACCTTGGCCCGCCTGAGATGAAATTTTATGAGGACCGTCCCTTGAAGGTTAAGAGAAAAATTCTATTTTCGATGACTCTGTATTGACAAAATTTAAAAAACGCATTTTGGCGTTAGATTTTTTTCAAAATTTCTTCGAAAAAATACTTATAAACATTTAGAGCTGGAGCTACCGTATTTGCATACTCTTCAAATGTTATTATAGGATCAAATAGAGAAAGGATTGATGGGGAAAATCCACTTTTGATCTTGTGGATACGATGAATCGTCATCGAGATATGAAAGCTTAAAGTTGAGGTGAGTTTATGGCAAAAAAACGTACTGTACAATAACAATCAAAAGTGATTTTGATTGTTTGACGCAAAGACTTTATAACTATGAAAATTGGTTTAAATTGGAAATGTATTTTAACTGTTCTGATGTAAAGACTGATAACATTTCACAGGAATCGAGCAGAGTAAAAGAGTGAGGAGTGGGGGGACTATGCGAGCGCAACAGCATAATCAACTCGTGCAATTTCAATCAATTTTTTGTCAGCTTTTATACATGAAAGAAAGGAGAAAAACTCGCTTTTTAATTTTGTTTACATTTTCTTGTATTAACAATTATGCACACTTTTTCAGCGGGCACTTATCGGAATTATCATTTTACATAATATTTAGAACTATTTCCAACAAAAATTAGCATTACTATATGAAACATCCATACAACCTACTTTTAAAACAGATACGACTGGACTAAAAACTACTTGCTGAATAGGTTTGAACAGTGGGACGCACAATAGGCCTGATAAGGACGCAGTGCTATGTGACTTGAATTGAACCTAACCACAGGAAGAAGATCCCTAATGTTTGTTAGTTTAGCAGATGAATCTGACAACCTGGAGGAATTGCTCATAAACATGCAAAAGTGATGTTGATGCGTATATGTCACTGTGGTAAACTAGAACATTCTAATTTTTTATAGAATTTTAATGAGGCGAAAAAAAATACAGGCCTCATATTTTTTAACCTATCGTCATGATGTAGTTAAAAAATTGGAACACATTCCGTCATGGTCAAAAGGAGGCAGTTAGTATGCCCGTACTATTAAATTAATATTTAAGTGATAAAATAAGACAGCTACAAACCTTATAGTCCTCGGTGCTGTAAAGTACAACTTTCCTATGCGCATCGCTAGCCACTAGATACTTATCATCGGGAGAATAGGAAACATCAGTGACTGCGCCCAGGTGGTCTAACTCTTGCAAGGGACTTAAATTGTTGTTCTGGAGCTCGTAAATGTGCACTTTACTGTCTGCATTCCCGCCGATTGCTACGTGCCCCCTAGGCGAACACGCCACACTAGTCGGCTCGTACTTAACCTTTAATGTGCTCAATGTTTCGTTATCTTTGGACACGGTGATTTCATTCACGCTGGCAGTGACAATGATGTTTTCTTCTTTGAGGACATCCATACCTTTCGGTTGAGATCCCAGTTTGAGGTGTTGTGGCTTGTAGGCATTTCCTATCAAAAAATTATTTTAAATTGGTCTCATCTCATTGCCTTTGTATACAATTTTACCTTCGATATCGATTTGTTTTAGGCTGTCATCAATTCCACACGTATATAACGTCCCGTCATGGACCCTCATCCCGTTCACTTGATTGCCATGTCCAACTCCCTCTATTCTATTATTTTCACCTGTTGCAGCATCCCACCGAGTTATGAAGCCATCATGGGAAGCGGTGAAGATTAAGGACCGGTCTTCACTGAGAGTTAGAGCGGTTATAGGCTTGTTATGTCCTTTGATAACTCGCAGGGGTTTGGAGGGATCGTTTACATCCAAGTAGTTTATAAAACCACTTAAAGATACTGTTAGTAAGTAGTTGTTTTGCCACAAACATGATACCTACGGAAATAAAATAAAAAACTAATATGGATGTATTAAAAAAAAAATTATGCGTGCAACTGAAGAAATTATTAATAGCTCAGTATATGATGGTTTTTAGATCCGAATTCTTGACATATGCACCGATTGACGTGAAATTTTAACAGTAAGTAGAAAATTGCTCAAGAAATAAAAGTTACATAGTGCTGATGTGTGCTTTCACCCTGGGGGTGAATGCCACCCCTTCTCGGGGGTGGCAATGGAGGCACCGATTTTAATCGCAAAAATCAATAGAGGGATGAATTCTAAGCAAAAAATGCTCTATAACGTTTTTTCCACAAATTAATATTTTCCGAGTTATTTGCGATTAAAAATGTTGATTTTTCATCTGAAAAGTGCAAGTTTTTCAAAAATTTTTGATAAATAACTCGAAAACCTTGCGTTTGATCGAAAAACCCATATAGAGCAAAATAAAGCTTTTGAAATAACGAATCGATTCATTCTTTGTTGATTGACGTAGATGTAATAATAACCGAGTTATCACTCTCAAAAGGTGATTGTTTATTTTTCGAAAAGTAAAATCGAACCTTTTACCGTAAAATAATGGCAAAAGGACTCATTTTGCAAAGAAAATGGATATAACCTTTTTTAAAGTGCTTGGAAAGACCTTTAAAATGCTTTTTGAAAACATTTCGTAGCTCAAAAACTCGCGGGATAAAAATAAAATGGTCATTTCATTTTTTTGGAGAAAAAATCAATAAAATCTATGGCTGAACCATAAAAATAGAAACTAAGCGTAATCCATGTATAGTTGACTTTATTTAAGTACTAATAATAGGCTCTGCAAGTTTAACTGGTGTAGAATGCCTAAATTTAAAGTTTGAAATAATAAAAAACTTTTTTTTAATTTAAAAAAAAAAATTCCTTTTTTCCGAAATAATTCAAAAACTAAACAAGATAGGTGAAAAATGTAAGAGTTCAAAATCAAAGGTCTTTTTTTTATAATATTTTTGTTCTCTCAATTTTTCTGTAGAGCAAAAATTAACTGAGATATTACGTTTTTTTAGTTTGTATTTGCGTGTAAGGACTTCTTTGAGCCCTTAAAATCTAAAAATCTCGAAAACGAAGAGTTCAAGACCCTTCAACTATAGTGGTTGATTTGTAGCTCTTGTAATTCCCTGCAAATTGCTTTTTGGAGTGATAAAAAATATTAAAAATTAAAAAAGTTATTGTGAAAAACGAATTGTATTATTCAGTGAAAATTGTCGGATCGTGTAAATGGCTTAACAATTGCCAAAATTGTCCTCCAATCACGGACCAAACAGAGGAAGTCCACAGTGATGATAGTTCTTTAGATGATATGTATATTTTTGATATATTATTTTCCCTTTCAGTAATTACATAATTTAAGTTTCGAGTTTTAAGTAATCTCGTTGAATTTAGTAATGTATCGTTGAATGTTTTTAAGCAGGTAAAAATTCTTCAATTCCTCATTAAGGGATGTTTTTAAGGGTTGAAACGTTGCAATAAATCATCAGTCATATTATAAACAGTGACGAGTCTTTCGTTCATTAGAAATGCTATGAAGATGTGAAAAAAATTTTTTACTTTATTTTCTGCAATAAGGGTTGTTTTTAAGGGTTGAAATGTTTCAATAAATCATGTATTATTTCATAAACAGTTAAAAATATTCAATTCTTCATTATTGCTCCGTCAAAACATTTCAGAGCCGCGAAAACTAATTTTTGTTTTTTTTTCCTCATAAAGGGTGGATTTTAAGGGTTGAAAAACAGATAAAAAATTATTATCCAAAACATATAAGAATGCTTATTCTATTGAAATAACACTTAAATCTATGGCTTTCACGTTTCTTGCAAGAAGGGGTAGTTTTCACCCCCTAAAAACAATAAGCACACATTATGGATATGTAACTTTTGTAAAGGAGGGTGAAAATCAGTACGTGCGTCAAGAATTCGGAGGTAATACCCTATTTTCCCCGTTGTATACTGGACTATAAGATTTATTATTACTTATGCAGCTGACATTCGTTACCTGTTGATCTTCTACAGTGTTCCCTAACACAAACTCGGAGACAACTTGCCGAGTCTCTATATCCCACAATTTGGCTGTTTTATCTCCACTGGCTGTCAGCAATTGTTTGCCGTCGGGACTCCAGGCTATCCCATACACTCCTCCTGCGTGAGCAGGGCTACCAACTTCACCAACTAAATCCGATGAACTACCGTCATATAAGAAAACCTTGCCATCGAAGCCGGCAGAGGCAAATAAGTCACCTTTTGGTGAATATCTTACAGCTTGGACAAAACGTGTGTGTTCCTAAAGAATATTTTTATGTTTTATTTTTGTTGTTACCAATAATCTTTGGTGAAAATAATAAACTTTATTCAATCTTAATTCTAAAATTTAAAAAACAAATTTAAAGTAAAAGAAGCTAATCTTTTGCAGAAATTTGAATCTCATGTTTGAACATTTTTTGGATAACATTGGTTAAACAAATTAGAGCATGAACAAGGGGAAAAGGGTTGTAATTACTATTAACTCTCTCCCCAAATTTTTCTCTATGACTACCTATGGCTTAAAAGTGCTATTTTTTTGGGTTAACCATTTTTTAAATGATTTATTCCTTGTAAAGTTTTGATTTAGGACTTGATTTATGAGAGACTGAAACTTGAATATAAAAGGGAATTCTTGCTTCCCATTTTTATCAGGATTATAGTCGAGGAAATAAAGCACTGAACCTCTGAAATCTGTGCAGTAAGATGGATCGTGATGCTGTTTTTTGCATTCGATTCGTTAGAGCGTCCAGAAAGTTTGTGACCCTACGTGATCAATGAGAAATGAAAATTGCATCGGTGCATAACAAAAATGCATTTTTAAAATTACATCTCGAAGAGTTAAAATATGAAAAATTTATAACTCAGAAAATATTGATGGAAATGAGTTCAATTTTGCTACTAGGGGGTTTTTGGGGTCTGCTGAACACGAATATCATGACGATAACGGTCTCCGAGGTACCTAGTGCCCAGGGTGGCTGGTTTCCACGACGTCTCCTGGAGTTTTGTGGAAATTCGTTATAAACTTAGTCGAAACTTGTTACCTTGGGGTTTTTGAGGTCGCTCAACACGAATATCACGACGGCAACGGTCTGCGAGGTACCTAGTGCCCCAGGGTGGCCGGTTTCCACGTCGTCTCCTGGGGTTTTGTGGAAATTTGTTATAAACTTAACCAAAACTCGTTACCTCGGGGTTTTTGGGGTCGCTCAACACGAATATCACGACGGCAACGGTCTCCGAGGTACCTAGTGCCCTAGGGTGGCCGGTTTCCACGTCGTCTCCTGGAGTTTTGTGGAAATTCGTTATAAACTTAGCCGATACTCGTTACCTCGGGGTTTTTGGAGTAGCCAACACGAATATCACGACGGCAACGGTCTCCGAGGTACCTAGTGCCCCAGAGTGGCCGGTTTCCACGTCGTCTCCTGGAGTTTTGTGGAAATTCGTTATAAACTTAGCCGATACTCGTTACCTCGGGGTTTTTGGAGTAGCCAACACGAATATCACGACGGCAACGGTCTCCGAGGTACCTAGTGCCCCAGAGTGGCCGGTTTCCACGTCGTCTCCTGGAGTTTTGTGGAAATTCGTTATAAACTTAGCCGAAACTTGTTACCTCGGGGTTTTTGGGGTCGATCAACACTAATGGCCGCTGCTTCCACATTTTACTCTTACATATATACTCTTACACATACTAGTATACAAGTTCGGAAAGTCCCCATGGTACATCGGCCGTTACGTGAGAGTGATAAAATAAGTCGTAGAAATCCGTGTGATAGACAAGGATGGTTACAATGAAGACATTTCATAATCTGAATAGTCACTCCCACTTCTAACCCGAAACGTGCGGTGACTATTTAGATTATGAAACGTCTTCAATGTAACCATCCTTGTCTATCGCACGGATTTCTATGACTTACTTTATCGCTCTCACCTAACGGTCGATGTACCATGAGGACTTTCCGAACTGTATACAGATACGCTCCAAGTTATAGCACACACGTGAAATAAGAAAAATTAAAATTGTAATGATATCTAAGTATAATATTTCTTTGAGAACATGTATTTTTTGTAATGAAGAAATGTATTTTTATAATAAAAAATAATTAAGAATAAAATAATTGTCACAGAAACTAGCCATCCTGGGTACTAGGTACCTCGGAGACCGTTGCTGTGGTGATATTCGTGTTGAGCGACCTCAAAAACCCCGAGGTAACGAGTTTCGGCTAAGTTAATAACGAAATTCCACAAAACTCCAGGAGGCGACGTGGAAACCGGCCACCCTGGGGCACTAGGTACCTCAGAGACCGTTGCCGTCGTGATATTTGTGTTGAGCGACCTCAAAAAACTCGAGGTAACGAGTTTCGTCTAAGTTTATAATGAATTTCCACAAAACTCCAGGAGACGACGTGGAAACTGGCCACCCTGGGCACTAGGTACCTCGGAGACCGTTACCGTCGTGATATTCGTGTTCAGCGCCCCCAAAAACCCACGAGTAGCAAAATTGAACTCATTTCCGTCAATATTTCCGAGATGTAAATTTTTCAAATTTTAACTCTTCAAGATGCAATTTTAAAAATGTGCAATTTTCATTTCTCATTGATCACATAGGGTCATAAACTTTCTGGACACTCTAACGAATCAAATGCAAAAAACCGCATCACAATCCATCTTACTGCACAGATTTCAGAGGTAAGGCCATTTTTAGTGCTTTATTTCCTCGACTATTATGTCAGGAAGTATAACCAGAAACTACTTTGACATTTTGTCGATGTTTTCATGTTTTTTATTATCACATCTTCAGGATACTACTACAGTTAAAACATTAAAAATTTTCATTTAAAATATGTACAATATAAAGTTAATGAATATACTTTTTTTTAAGCGACTATAAAATCAGCAAAGCCTTTTGTGAATAATAAAAACACAATACTGAAACAAAAAAAAATATTGACTACCCCTAAATGTAATAAAAATTAATTATATTTACGAAGTAAATTAGTTTAAATAACATACCCATGTGTGGGGTTTTATAAGATTAGAAATTGTGATTGTATACAAGGGCATTTATACATATAATTGAAATTTTTTATTATACAGGGTGATACAAGAAGTCGAGTACCAGTGGCTGAGGTCAAAATAATATCAGTTCTTCATATACATTTTTTTCATACGGGTCTTCGTTAACAAGTTACGGGCCCTCAAAAGTGAAAATTAAAAATTTATTTTTATTTACAGTCCCCAAACTATTAACTTCAGCATGATGTAAATTTGGTGATCGATAACACATGCGTATAGCTTGTTTTTGATACTGTAAGTGAAACTTCATTATGCCAGAATGCCAGGGACGGACTATACCCAATGGTTAACAACCCAGAAATTTTGTATAGATGGCGATCGCAATCTGCCTGTATCAAAAAAAAGTTCCCTGAAGAATATGCCAACGATAATACTAGTCCGGGAGCCAGCTGCAGAATTCGTTGAGTTATTTTCTTGATAAAAAATTTGAGTTTACATGACAGTTTTTACCCCAACTAAGGTCAGGCAGTGATATGAAACTCCTAGAGCGGTAATGGTGGGTACCACCCTACCCTCCAACGCGTATGGATATTAAAAGAAATTTGTAATCTTTAAATGGACCAAACTCAAGTATAAGGCATTTGATGCTGTGTTTAGTCGATTAAAGCTAGTCAGCTGGCTCATTGATGGTAATTAGTACGTCAGCTGACCGTCGGAACAGGTGAGATGAAAAAATAATTGAAAATTATTTTTTATGTACTGAAATTGAAATATATTGCAACTTATAGTGCATATAGGGCCATAAAAATAGTCAGCTGGCCAATCGTTGGTAATAAGATCGTCAGCTGAGGCAATCAAACCCCTTGCGGCAGCGCGCTCGTGAGAACATCGAATGATATGTTTTTCGCATTAACTGACTACTCTTTTACCCATGAACCGCCAGCTGACTATGTTTTTTGCTTTGTATACACAATAAACTATCGTTTGGACCCATTTTTGACTGA